GTCTAGACAAGCCATGTGACTGACCTTTCCCCAGGACAGGAAAGGGTTCAACTGGGATATGAGCTTCTAGACAGAAATTAACCTGTGATCCAACCTTAGGCCTCTGTCCCACACATTCAGTGGTCAGGACACTAGGGCCCCTTGGTACCCTTCCCCTTCCACCAAGCTCCAGTTGTAGGCTGGGGGAGTGGAGGGCTCTTTTATGAGTGGAGGGATTTTCTGGGAGCAAACATGTAGGGTGTCAGGAGGAGGGTCCCTTTGGCTGAGGTGGGCTGGCTGTCTCTGGTGGGCTCCCCAAGCCCCGGCGGCCAGGCTGAGCTGGCTGTGAGGGATGTACCGAGGGAGGCTGACACATCAGTATCTCATAGTCCTGCCCCCATTTCCTGCCGCCCACCCCCCAACCCGTTCCCCCAGAATCAATCTTTCAGCTTCTAAACACCAAGGAGCCCACCATCTCCCTTGTCTACATGGTGAGGAGACCCAAGAACTACCCTTCCCCTCCCTGGCCCATGACTACCATGTCCTCACTTACAGACATGGGATCACATACATATGTGCATACTCTTATGGATACAACACACGTATATACACAGACTTACTTTGAACAGATATTTATTAAACTCCCACAGGACCTTGGCAAGTTCCCTGATGCTCTCGCTTGTCTGGCCCTGGTTGACCTCGGTGTCCCGGGCCCGGGATCCCTGATACTCCGCATGTCTCTGCCACTGGGAGCCACAGAGACAGGGATTGTCTCTTCCTGCTTCCAGCTCCCGAATCACGTCTAACATATGGAAGATGTTCAATAAATGTTGAATAAGTACATAAAGGAGGAGGAAGGCACACGGGGCAGAGAACAGCACATGGAAAAGCATAGAAGATGGGAGATGAAGGGGAGGAGAGGCATTTTTCTGGACAGAACCCAGATGAAAGCACACAGGACCCTAAGACAGACTGAAGAAAGCAGCCCCCAGCCCCTCTCACCAGCTCTTCCTGTTAAAGAAGAACTTCCTTTCGAGTGAGGAATGAACACTTACCATTCATATATCCTCCCGGGCGCCAGCTTTCTCTCCCAGCCCGGAGAAGACAAGAAGACCAGTGTGGCCACAGGCCCCTCGCGACCTTAGGAGCAGGGTCCAGTGTCTCCACTGTCACTGTCCCCAGCTCACAGCTGATGGCTGGCAAATGCCGCCTCGCACCAGGGGCTGGCGAATGCTCTCCAATCTGGTTCCCATTAAGGTGCCAGTAAAGAAACGCAGGAGGTCCTCACGGTAAAATCAGACCAGATGTGAGTAGAGTCAAGGTCCCCCGAAACAGAACTAGCCCCGTGTTTCTGACATGCCTGGAGGGTTTGAAAATACCCACGGCTCCCTTGGTGTTGGGGTGGGGGTCGGGGGCAGCAGGGAAGACCCTTACACGTCAGTGTTCCCGAAAGAACATCAAGTCACACCACCAAATGACCAATGCCTCATCAAAATGGGAGCCAAAGAGCAGCCCAATTTCCCAACAAGAAACAGACCACTGGTAATAGTATCATAATTACAGTGACAAGGAAGACTGCGCTCGCCGACGCTTGCTGGACTCCCCATCGGTGCAAGGCAAAGCCTAAGAGGCAGGATCGCAGAGAGGTAGAGGGCAACCACTTGGATGATGCTGGTTCTCCCGCTTACTAGACTTGTGAGCTTTGGTGAGGATTCGGCGGGGATCCGAAGGCCATATGCAGCCTTAGAACAGAGACTGGCTCCGAGTCCATGCTCAACAAACATTAGCCATCTTTAGTATTCTTGGTAAAAACCTCCAAACAAACCTAAGGGATGAGGAGGAGAATCACAACCATTTGGGAGGTGAAGAAACCAATGTTCAGAAAAGTTCATTAACACGTCCCCGATCCACGCAACACAGCTAGAATCGGGAGTGAGCCCTGGGCCCAGGCAGGCTGACCCAGAGCCTTCCCTCTTGAGCTCCGTTTTATAGGACTTCCTGGCAGGAAATGGGAGCTCAGGTCAGAGGGACTCAGGAACGTTGTTTCCTAGAGCGGCTGATGCCCATCCCCGAGAGTGGGGCAATGCTGGAGACAAGAAGTGAGGCAGAAAGTGATGGAAATGCAATAAACAGGTGCTGGAATGTTAGAAGATTCCAGAGTGTTGGCAGCCGGGCGCCACCTGCCCCACGCCCTCTTCAGGTGCGCAGGCTGGCTCTGGGTGAGGCGAGTGTGAGGCGGGGGCAGGCCGAGGGCCAGCCAGGCGAGGCCCCCCGCACCACTTCCTGTTATTCAGTCTGTTCCAAGAGTACCCCATCATCTGGCCAACTCGGGGCAACAGAATCCCGAGAGCTCAGTCCAACACTTGGGAAGTTTTGTTTTTAAAGCAACAGATCCGTGAAGTGGGTTAAAACTTTTCAGTCAAACCAGTCAGAAATCCAGTCAGGTGCGTTGAAAATTCGGGAAACCCAGGCGACGCTACTTTCAGTCAAGTTTCGTTGTAACTTCTGCAAAATCAATCAGAAGCTCGGCCCGTTCATCCTGAAGCCCTGGGAGTCTAGACAGAAGTTCAGGCAGGCTTCTCATGTACTGAGGTGGGGAGCTGGAAATTTGGTGAGGTTGGTCCAAAATCCAGCAAGGTCAATCCAAATCCGGATCAGTCCAGAGTTCCATGCAGTGAGGCCAAAGCCCACACAGTGTTGGTGCACAGGTCGTAACATCTGCCGGACCACTTGGCATCACGTAGGCCCGACATCCCGTTGTGGGACTGGGTTAGTAACCGGTAAACACAGAGAGAAAGAGATTGGCTGTGTGCATAGGCAGGGGAGCTAAACTGGAGACAAAGTGGTACTGTCTGAAGGTTTCCAGAATCATCTCCACCAGGAGCCAGGCGGAGGAAATGGCAGGGCTGAGCCACAGCGCTGCTCCCAGACAAGCCCCTGAGACTGCCTTGAATAGACCCCAAATGCCACTCTGTTGACCCCTGTGACCCTGGCTTAGGGCAGAGCTGTCAGGCCTTCTAGAGCCAGCCCCCCATCCAGCCACGGGGCTGCCAGGAGGAGGGCAGCCTGGTGAACACATGCAGCATGCCTGCCTGTCTGTTCTCCCACGCTCCTTCCCCTCGCTGGCGGGAGCTGAGCAGGCATAGCCAGGAGCTGGCCTGGTGCCCCAGCGCATGGAGGTGTAGCTGGGCTCCAACCCAGCTCTTGCAACAGGTTCCATATGGCCCTCCCGGCCGCCCCTCATTCCCCATCCCCACCTTGACTGTTTCTGAGATTAAAATCCCTTCCTGGTTGTCAGTAAACGGCTGCAGGGAGGGGCCTCCTTGCTGCTTTGGGGGGCTGAGCTGGTGTGGAATAGTCATCAGAAGGCTGGCTGGAGGGGACAGAGTTCCTGGGCTGTTAGGTGAGGGGGTGTGGAGGGGGGCAGGTGGCCTGAGCGTGGGAGAGACCTCTGACTGTCCCCTTGGCCCAGCTGCAGCGCCTAGAGCAGTTCCTGAATGTCTGGCCTGGGCACTGGGACCCCGAGTCTCAAGGTGGGAACGTGCAGGGACCCCAGCAGTTCTGACTCTCTTCTGAATCCAGAATTCCTTCTGCAGCAAAGAAGGATATGATGAAAGCAGAGAAAGGCACTGGGATGTGTGGGGAGATGGGGTGGCGGGGAGGCTAGTCCGTACATGTAACTGTCAGTAACACATGGGCTGCCCAGTCGGAGGGATGCCAGGTCTGGTGCTGGACTGGGCCTGGCATCTGTCCCTCAGTGTCCGGTGCCCATCGCAGGCCGGTGGGGAAGTCTTGAGATCCTGGGACTGGAGCATGAGGGTGGGGTGGGGTGGGTGGCTCTCCTGCAGTTGGGAGCACAGCTAGTGTTTCTGATATTCAAGTAGTTAATAATTTAACAGCCAGCTCAACTGTCCCAGAGGTCCCGGCTGAGCCTTTGCCATGGGTTGGAGCCCGTCTCAACTCTGGCTCTGCCGTCTTCCCTGGAAAGGCATCTGTTGACTATGAAATCTGAAGACCATACACACTTGCGTGTGTGTGCATGTGTGTGTGTGCGCGAGTGCGTGAGCGGGTGTGTGTGTGTGTGAGAGAGAGAGAGAGAAAGAGAGACCTCTCCGGGCACGCAGAGTGCCCAGGAACTCCACAAGCATGCGCCCACCCTGGAGCTCTGCCTGCCCTTGCCCCCCTGCCCCAGCCTCACCAAGTCCAGCCCAGAGGCTCGTCCGGACATAGAGGCACAGCTGATCCACCTCTGAGCCCCTGGCTGAACCGTGTCCTGGGGATTCTTAACTCTTATCCTCCTCCATCCTGTTGTAGACCCATGCCCAGGAGCTGGCCTGAATGTCTGGTGTGCTAAGCACTTGGGAAGTCTCCCCACCAGCCACACCCTTGGCCTAGCCCTGGGAGCCCTGTCCCACCCCCTTGCAAGATCAAAGCAGGCTCCCTGTCTGCTCTCAGTGATGACATCTGGCTACAGCAGGTGGTGATTTAGAATCTCAGCCCTGGAAGGGCCTCGGATCTCCATCCTGGCCGTCTCATTTTCCATGTGGAGACTCAGAGAGGGGAAAGGCCATCGAGCTGGTGTCTGAGCTGGGACTGGAACCCAGGGCCCCACGGACTTCCCCAGCAGCATCCTCGTGGGCAAAGGGAGTGGGCAAGGCCACTCAGCCAAGCCAGAACTTTCCCTCTCCTCCAGAGCAAGTACGGTCACAGGGATGGCAAGTCCCCCTTGGAGATGGGGGTCACAGCTTCTGTCACCTCTCTGAATCTGTGGGGTGCAGGGACATCATGCTGTCACAGGGGGACCCACAGGAGGTTGCAGGGCAGTTTTGAGGGCATAATGGGAACATGGCCTGTGAGGCACTTTGGACACCAGCACAAGGGAAGGATCCTGGAGAGAGGAGCCCAAGTTCACTCAGTGCCACTTTTTGTCTTTTTATTCCCTTCCTCTTGCTCTCTTTAGCTGTTCAAACTACTGCTAGGCACAGGGAGAGAATGCGAGCTTATTTTGTTTCTCCTTTCAGATGCTATTTGCAAGTCTAGGGTGGAAGAAAGACAGTCATGGCTCCAGCCAGCTCCGGAAGCCTGAGCCCTTCGAGTGAGTGTATGGGAGGGGCATGGGGTGGGGGGCTTTCCAGTAGTCCATAGCCACATGGCCCCCAGTCACAGTGGGCCACTTTGAATCCATCTAGCAATTTTTCCATCTCCCGGCATCTGGATCCTGCTCACCAGATTCTTCTCCGGTAGATGTCTTAGGACATCCCATCCTCCAGCCCAGCTCAGACCCTGCTGGGGTCTTTGGTCCTCGACCTTCGTGCCATTTCCCCGCGCACTGCATTCCTCTGCTAGTCACGACCCTCAGAATCCAGTGAATGAGGCGGGATGAACTTGTTGGAGATGTTAACAGTTATTTTTCTCCTGGGAGTTCACTCTGAGCCCTGCGTTCAAGACATAGAGCCTGTGTGATTAGGAAGAGGGATGGGACAGATGGCAAATGGAAACAAAGGAGTCTGCCTGGCTCGGACCCCCAAACGCCAGATCTCAGAAAAAATGAGAGAATTCAGAGGCTTCGTGGAAATGTGGGAGCAAGGTCTGGATCGAGAGCAGGCGTTGGCCATTGAGGAGGGGACTTCCCTGGAGAGCCCTGGGAGGCAGCAAGACGCTGGGAGGGAGGGCCTGGGGGCAAGTCCAGGCTGTCTGGCTTCCACACCGGGGAGAGGCCCAGACCCGCGAAAGGGCCCCCGGGTCCTGGTACCTTGCAGGCAAGCGGCAGAAATGAGGTGATAAGCTTCGTGGACGGATGCCTGTGTCTCAAGGGCTCCACCAAGTGCTTCAGGGCCATGCCAGCTCCCCGCAGCACCCAGGCTTATATAAGTAACTCCAACTCCTCCTGGCAGAAAGGGAGGGTTGCCCCAGACTCACTGAGTTTGTGCATGGAGAGCTCAAGCCAGGGATGAAATTGCCATGGAAAGATGAATTATTTTGTCTGCACAGCTGAGCTGCAGCCCGAGCATGGTACCTGCTGCGCTGACACTTACCGACAGGTCCTGGGCAACATTTGTGATCCTCACAACGAGCTCCACGCACACGCTGTGGTTCTCCCATCTTACAGATAAGGAACCGAGAGCCACGGAGGTACAAGGGCAATTTGCCCGAGGTGACAGAATTGCGTGTGGAGGGGTCAGAGGCGGACCCGCGTCTGTCTGATTCCCAAGCCCTGACCTCCCTCTTAGCGGGTTCCCTTCCCCTCCCTGGACTGCCCCATCGGGGGCTGGGGGTGTGTCCGTTCTCCAGAAACCCAACCCCAGAGTTTCCCTCCCCACCCAGTTTCTTGCTTTGCCTCGTTACAAGCTTAGGAGCAGTCCTTACCCCACAGCTGGGAAGGAGCACATCATCGATGTCGTGACAGTCCCTTACCTTCTATAGCTCACGGTACCTCTAGGAGGGAGGCAGGGCGTGCGAGGAACTGAGGTGTGGGGCTTGACCTAGGCCCCCCTAAGGACAGGAAGGTGGAACCCAAAGGCACGTCCCTCCATCTTCCCCAAATTGTCTGGAAGATGAGAATCATCTGATGCGTTTATTCAATACTGATTCTTGGGTTCTTTTTTTTTTTTTTTAATTTATTTTGAGTAGGCTCCATGCTCAATATGGGGCTTGAACTCATGACCCTGAGATCAAGAGTCACATGTTCTACCAACTGAGCTAGCCAGGGCTCCCTGATTCCTGGGTTCTAATTCAGATCTTTAAACCAGCATTTCAGAGAAGAGAGGGCAGTTTGCCCGCCTCTTCAGACAAAACTCTCTCACCAATGAGTTACAAAGTCGTTTGAAGCCTAGGAAACTTATATTCCAAAAATCTTTATGCTGCAGAGAAAACCAATGACACAGATCCTCTGCCCTGATCGAAGGGGCTGGAGGCCACCACCCTGTTGCTCTAAGGGGATTCCACAGAGCCCCTGGGTGCCTCTGGGCCCTAGTTTAAAAACCATGAATCAGGGGCGCCTGGGTGGCTCAGTTGGTGAAGCGTCTGCCTTCGGCTCAGGTCATGATCCCAGGGTCGTGGGATCGAGCCCCACATCAGGCTCCCTGCTCAGCGGGGAGTCTGTTCCTGCCTCTCCCTCTGCTGCTGTCCCTGCTTGTGCTCTCTCACTCTCCCTCTGTCAAATAAATAAATACAATCTTAAAAAAACCCACAAAAACTGTGAACCACACTCTCATTTAAATCCCAGGTCTGTCATTTACCAGAAATGTTGGTTAACCTCTCTGTGCCTCATTTTCCCCATCTGTGCTATGGGGACAGTAATGTTACCCGCCTCACAGTGCTGTTGTGAGGATCAAATGGGCGAATGTCTGTTAAGCACAGAGAAGGACACCTGGCACATAAGAAGGGCTAACTAAGTCAGTGTCACTCACTGGACCACCCTGATTGTGTTTGGAGGACTAGACCATGCGTCAGCTGATTTAAATGGTTGCCTTGGGCAAAGAGATTGATTCCATGGTCTCATCCTAATGACCCAGAAAGCAAAGCAGTCAAAGCAATTTGTAGGTTGAATTGAACTGTTTGGAGTGTTTTTACAAAAAATACTGTTGGGATTGGGTGATGCTATTGTTTTACACAGGGTGACCAGCCACCTCTGCGGTTCTGCACCGGGTGTGTGCAGATCCACTTCCGGGCCCCCACCCAGGCTTCCGGGAGAAGTTCCCACGGAGGTGGACAGACATGGGATGGAGGACTCGCCGCCAGTGTTTCCTTGATTGCTCCGGTGCCCTCAGAGTTGCCATGGGGTCAGATCCTGGAAACCCTGAGTGGTTTCCCAGATGGGACCTTTGAGCTCTGCTAATTTGTTCCACCCTGTTTTCTGGGGGAGCTTGGCAAAGGGATTATTCACTTCCCCCCCCACTTCCCCCACAAGGCTCTTTGGAGAGGGGGCAGCTCTGTCTGTTCTGGGCAGGAAGGAGCATGCATTGGGAGGAGGTTGAGGACAATGATTTTTTTCCCTGTCCCTGTTCTCTTCTGTGAGGATCCTCAGATGTGTGTGGGACATCCCGGGTCTCGGCGGTTCCAGGAGAGAACCTGGCTGCCATAGAGACCCTGGCCCAGGGAGGCTTAGGGTAAACCACGTGTACATCCAGGTGAAATTGGTTAAGCTGATCATCAAATGGCAGCCTCAGGGGAAGGAAAGGATCCCAGAAAGGAAATGAGAAATCTGATCATGTTACATACCTCCCTGGTCAGTAGCTTCCACTGAGGATAAGGTCCCCAATTCTCCCTACACCCTTGCCCTGTTTGACCCACTCTGTATGGCAGCCTCAATCTGTGATGGTCCCTCCCACTCCAAGCTCCGCTAAAGGCTGCTCCTTCTGCCTCTGGACCTTTGCACAGGCTGCCCATTATTGTTTCCCCAGCTCTTTACCTCTCCACAAACCAGAGGCCTCAGTCTAAATGTCACTCTTCCGGAGTCTTCCTTGAAGCTGTGCACTCCCCACCGCACCCCCCACCTTTCCAGTTGAGGTTAGGGGACTTGCTCGTCCCCTTTATTACACTCAAGCTGTTTAGAATTCTCCTTCAGGGCCCTCAGCACGGCTGTAACGAACTTCTGCTGCTGGCACTCTTGGCTTCTGATGGCTCACAGGTGCACCCCGCACTGTGACACCGTGCCCGATCTGCAGGGAGCTGCTTGCTCCAGGTACCTCCGTCCAGTGGCGACTCACAGACAGTGACTGGCTAATGCTGGGGTATGCAGAGCTGGCCCTCTTGCCTCAATCTGAGACCACTCTGAAGGGCCATCTCAGCTCTCCAGTGCCCTTGTAGGATGGCTGAGGCCTGGATTATAAGCGCATGGCAGGCCAGCCCCTCCCTTCCCAGGCCTGACTTCCTTGGTTCCTTGTAGCTCCTTCAAGCATTCCTTTACGTACTTTCTGCACACAGCTCTCCGAATCAGTCTGTTTGTACCGAACCCCATCTGAGATACCCTCCTTCCCCACTTCTCTCAGAGATCTCTCTCTCTCTTTTTTTTTTTCTTATCCAACCTTCTTTCAGGAAAGGCTCTGATAAGCTCAGTCACATGCAGGTACCAATGATTGGTAACAGCTCAATGGTTTTTCCTTTTCCAGAGTCATCTACTATTTATGAAAATTCTATGTCAAAGGGTAGATGAATTTTTAGGATTCAGTAAAGTGGTAATGAGGTAAGACTGGGACATTTCTTATTTTGAATCAGGGACCATACCATGCTTAGAGTAAGGCAGAGTAATCTTAAGGCCCTGCAAATATTGGTTGGTGAGGCTGGTACTTATGGAACCCTAGGGGTCTACCATCTTGGAGTCTCAGAGAAGGAAACAGCAGGGTGTGACAAAAAGGGGTCTGGTTAGCTGTGTGACTACTTCCCTTTGGAGCTCAGCTTCTTCAACTATAAAATGAAGGATCCTAGTACCCATTATAAATCTGCATATCCATACGAGCTCAAGTCTGAAGAAGATATACACATTTCTTTTTATATACCAAAAAACTAGAAGCAGATGCCCTAGAACAGAAGTCCCCAAACTTTCTCTGTTTGTAGCCCATTTAGTGTCAGTGATGTCTTTACGGTCCTGTAGGCCGAAAGAAATACCCAAAAGTCCTTGGATTAAGTGGTTGGTCTAAATAACTCAAAGCATATTATGTAGTCATCAAAAAAACACATGAAATTGAAAGAAGAAAGGAAAAACCATTTATATTTCATTCTTAGCCACAGCTATTTACTAATGGGATACGTGTTGGGCATCGCATGACTCTCAGACCTTGGAACTGTGTCGGACACCATCACCTCACTTCCTGTACCACAATGATTTTCACATGGTATTTGCTTTTTATCACAACCACCATCAAAAACTGGGTTTCATAAAGTTATGACATTGTTGAAAGGAATGTTGCATGATCTCATGTTGAAACTGTGGACTCCGAGAGCTAGTAGTTTGCAGAGCACCCGACAGATGTCAGTCACTGTGTTTCCCTCAAAACTTAAAATATCCCTGCAGGGTCTTTGTGGATCCGTTGTTGCACCCAGATGCCTCAGTGCACCATTTGGGACCTACCTGGTTGCAATCTCTTTTAAGTGTGATACGCTCATTATGAAAGAGATGTGAGAAAAGTGAAAGAAAAAAGCAAAACTGATCCCAAACAACCTATAAATTGGGGCAGGAGGGGAAGCACAATTCAGTCCATTGAACAGTGCAAACCAAAGTGAGATTTTTAGTACATGGCATCTGCAAGATTATCATTGTCTAGTGGCATAAAAGGTGTGGACCTAGAGCTACATTTAAAAATAATTGGATAATAAAATAAGAGAAGGTAATGCGATTAAAACATGATCTCCAGGCAAAATATATTGGGGAAAACAGTCTAAGAATCTGAAAGTTTGGAAAATGACAGATGAAAGGACAATTTGAGATACAATGTAGGATAAAAGCCGTGGGGTACTGTAGCATGGGGAGAAGAAAGAGCAGCTTTCTTAAAGTCTGGTCAGGCATTTTGTAAAATGTCCCTCAGTTTGGATTTGTCTGGTGTGTTTTCATGATTAGACTGGGGCTACGGATGGGGGAGAATTTCACCAGGGGAACATGCCCTTCTTATAGCACCGCCTCAGAGGGTATGTGATATCAATATATCTTATCATTGGTGATGTCAACTTTGATTAACGTGGTTAAGGCAGTGGTGGCTAGGTTTCTATCAATGCTACGGTTTTCCCTTTCCCTAAGTAAGGCTTAAATCCAGCCCACACTCACCGAGAGGGGAGTTAAGCTAACCTTCCAGAGAGAGGAGGATCAAAGAATTTGTGGACATGTGTTAGAAGCACCATAGTAATTAATTAATAAGTATTTTGGGGGAGCTGCTTTGCAGCTACACAAATATTTTGTTTCTTCCTGTCGTCTTGCCCACTCATTTTAGCATCCATCAGTAGATCTTGCCTGTGAAATATTATTGTGATGTTCTAATAGTGGTTTCCTTTTTCCCTTAGTCCTCCCCCATTTATTAATTAGAATTCTTCTATAGGAAAGAGTTCTCTCTTTTCCACCATTTGTTTATTAAGTCACTTATTTATATCACGATAGCTTCATGGGGATTTGTTTTGTTGGTCAAATTGTTGCAGCTTCGGCCATTGGAAATTCCTTCAGTTTGGCTCTTCTGCCTTTTGACTTTTTTAAAAAAGCACCTCCTTATTTCTTGGCACCACAAGCTGCTTTAGGCTCATCTTATATTTACTCTGCCCCAGTCATAGAATTAGTCATTTAACCAAGGAGACTGGTTCCTTTTATTGGACAATGGTATTTAGAAACCAAGGTCTGAGCACAAAGTGTGCTTATTGCTACTGGGTGTCACTGCTTCTAGATCCTTTCAATGGACAGAGCTAGGAATGTATGTGTGTATATTAACCCGTGTATATACACATATCTATCTATCTATCTATCTATCTATCTATCTATCTATCTATCTATCATCTATCTTAAAATAAGTGTGCATTCATACCAATACCCAGCACAACAGGGTATATACGTTGAGTTTTGAATTTGGACAATTACACATACTTTTTTTGTTTCCAAAAGTTCAATCTGATTTATTTGCAAAGTCTTCACCCATCTTAAGGGTACCATTTGTTGAGTGTTAACAAATCTTTATACACCCATGTAACCACCACCACAGTCAAGATAGAGTCACTCCAAAAGGCTCCTTTAATGGCTTTTTCCAACACACCCCCATCCCATGCCCCGACAACCACTGACCTGCCTTCTGTCACTGTTGATTAGTCTTTTCTAGTGTTTCGCAAAAACAGGACTGGTACAGTATGTATTCTGTATCTCTCTTCTTTTGCGCACTATCAGTTTCCTAAGGGCCGCCTTACAAAGCACTACAGACTGGGTGGCTTAAAGTACCAGAAATTTATATTCTCACAGGTCAGGAGGCCAGAAGTCTGAAATGAAGATGTTGGCAGGGTTGGGTCCCTCCCGAGGCTCTGAGGGAGAATCTGTTCCCAGTCTCTCTCCTGGTACCAGTGGTTGCTGACAGTTTTTGGAGCTCCTTGGTTTATGGCAACTGTAACTGCTGCCTCCATCTTCATATGACCTTCGTCCTCGTGTCTTTGCATCTTTCTGCGTCTCTTCTCTGCTTATGAGGACACCAGTCATATTGGATTTAGGGCCCACCTTATTCCAGTATGACCTCATCTTAACTGGATTACATCTGCAAAGACCCCATTTCCAAATGAGGTCACACTCACAGGTCCCAGGGTAACGTTAGGGCTCCAACACATCTTTCTGGAGGAACAATTCAACACACAGCTCTCAGCGTAACAATCAGAAACTCATTCATGCCACTACATGTGTAAGTATTTTGCTCTTCTTATTGAGGCACTACTGTTTCCATCAGATACTTCCCATAGTATGGGTATACCACAATTTGTTTATCCATCCTCTTGCTGTGGACATCTGAGCTGTTTCCAGCTTGGAATTATTATGAATAAAGATGCCCTTAATGTTCACATGCAGATCATGACAGCTCAACTTTTTTGCACATATTTTGTTGGGTTGTTTGTCTTCTTATGAGTTTTGATAGTTCTTTATATATATATATATTCTTTATATATTCTGGATGCAAATTCTTTGTCAGATAGATGTATCGTAAATATTTTCTCCCAGTCTATGGCTTGACTTTTCATTTTCTCAATGGTGTCTTTCCAAAAGTAGAAAATTTCAATTTTAATTAAGTTCAAATTATGAATTTTTTTCTTTTATGGGTCATGCTTTTTGTGTCCTACTTCAAAGTCACAAGGACAGTCTCCTATATATTTGTGTAGAAGTTTTAGTTTTTATGTTCTGGTCTTTGCCCATTTTGAGTATTTGTATATGGTGTGAGGTAGAGGTTGAATTTTCTTTTTTATATATGGCTATCTAGTTCTACAACCATTGTTGAAAAGGCCATGATGCCTCTGAGGGCTTTAGAGGAGAATTAAGTACCTTAGTATCTTTGTCAAATCAATGTACTGCCATATATATGTGGATTTACTTCTGCAATCTCCATTCTGTACCACTGATCTATTTTTTTTATCCTTGAGCTGATATTACATAGTTTGATTACCATAGCTTAATAATAAGTCTGGATAACAGGTAGTGTACATTTCTAACTTTGCTTTTCGTTTCAATATTGTTTTGGCTATCCTAGGTTGTTTGCATTTCCATGTAAATTTTAGAATCAGCTTGTTAATTTCTACCAAAAAAAAAGCTTTGGGGGATTTTTATTAGATATGCATAAAATTTGTAAATCAATTGGTGATAATTGACATATTTACAATATTGAGTCTTCTGACCCATGAGCTTGATGTATTCACCATTTGTTTGGTAGTTTTCAGCATATAGGTCTTGGACATATTTCATGAAATGTATTTCTAAGCATTTTGGGATACTATTGTAAGAGGTATTTTTCCATTTCAATTTCTAGTTGTTCATTGTTAGTATATAGAATTATAATTGATTTTTATATATTGGCCTTATATTCTGTAACCTTGCTCACCTCACCTATCATTCTAGTAACCTCTTTATAGATTTTGTAAGATTTTCTTTTTATACAATTACATTGCTTAAAAATAAAGACAGTTGTACTTTTTTTAAAAGATTTATTTATATATTTAAGAGAGAGAGACAGCATGAGCAGGAGGAGGGGTAGAGGGGGACAAGCAGATTCCTGGCTGAGCACGGAGCCTGATGCAGGCCTTGATCTCACGACCATGAGATCATGACCTGAGCCAAAATCAAGAGTTGGGTGCTTAACCAACTGAGCCACCCCAGGTGCCCCTGTACTTCTTTTCCAATGTGGATGCTTTCATGTCTTCTTACAGCAGTAGCTAGGACCTAGAATAGCAATAATGTTTGGAAACATCTTTTTCAACAGAAGATGCTAGAACAATCGGGTAGCGGTATGAAAAACAAATAACTCCAGTGATTCCTAGCCCTGTGTGGGCTCTGGGAATTTTTCAGCTTGTAGCTCCCTGGTAATTGTTCTCTCAGATATTGTTCTTTGCTCACCTTTGAGTGTTTACTTCATGCTGCACAGATTGGGCATCAGCCGAAGATTCAAGGGGACTCCAGGCAGATTTTAGAAGCCCTTTCTCTGCATAACTCCCTCTCCTCTTGTATTCTGTCCTGCAAATTCTAGGCACCTTGGCCTCCCCAGACTCCTGTGTCTCTTCAACTCAGTGAGATTGCTGGCCACTGTTTGGGTTCCCTTATCCAGCTCTGCATTCCAGAAATTCCCTCCATGCAGAAAATTGGGGTAAGGTCTGATCTCATTTGTTTCTTTTCTCTCAGTCCTGAGTTGCCTATTGGCCAATGTCTGAAAACTGTTGTTTAGTTGTCTATCTTTGAGGATTCTAACCTTTGCAGTCCTCACTAAAGCTGTGGTCACTCATATCCTTGGGTGTTTGGTAATTTTTGATTGTAAGTTGACATTTTGGTAAACTTAATCTTTGGGTCTTGTGAGGGTTTACATTGGGAATGCATCCCCAGAGAGAATTTGTGCTTGGCTGGGAGCTGGAGGGGTACTTCTGACTAGGAATCCCTGTGAGCCCTTTTGAGGGCCCTGGATATAACATAGGAGTATCAGTTTCAGCTCCCTCAACCGGAAGGTGGCTGTCTTTGGTGTTGCCAGGAAACGTATTTACCCTCAGGTCAATATCACCTTCGGGTTTCAGCTTCTTGTGAGTTTTTTCCTCTTACGGACATTTCCCAAACATTCTGCAAGCTCAGAAACATGTTTAAAAATGTGTTTTGTAATTTATCCAGGATTGAGTTCTTTAGCGAGGAGGCCTTGCCAGGTGCCTAGTTTGCCATGATGTTGGAACCAGAAGTTTCCATCATTCACCCTCTATCCGTCCTTACGTCTGTCCTTCCATTGATCTTTCCTTCATCCCTTACTCATTCTCCACTGACCACAGTGCTGTTCCCAGCCCCCTGCAAGATGATTCACGGAAGACAGGGGAAGGTCCTTCCCTATCAGGAGTGACGTAGTTGAGAGAACACCTCTAACACATGGACCCCCTCATTAAAAATGTCCCTTCTTCACCTGCAAGCTCTTCCTTCCCGCATGGATTTACCCTGGCATTGCTGGACTGGGTTTCTAGTTGCTTCTAGTCAGGGTCAGGGGGAGGAGGGGGACATTCCCTGCTGGCTTCCCCTTGTGACCTGGACCTCAGTGGGCCCAGGCCCAAGTCTGTGCTCCCTCCAGGGACCCCACACCAAGGCTGAGGACAGCAGGCCCAGGGCCACTCTGGACCCATGGCCTCTGGCCTACCCTGTTCCTTTATGTGGTCACCAGTCCACCTGCTATGTCAGTTCCAATCCAGCCTTTCTTTCCTGAAACTCCAGAAGCTGATGGGCATGTGGAGAAAGGGGGGCAGAAGCAGGGATGGGGAGCATGAGGGTGGGAGACACACTGGAGGGTGTTTGGGTCTTGAGAACAACATTAGCAGGTGCAGCCTGGGCCAGCCCAGCCCATGGCAACATATGCTCACAGTCCTGGAACAAGCCTTGCTTGTTAAAAGAGAAAAACAAAACAGCCCATCTTTCTCCGCATAGAGTTAATGCATCTTTGAGGGTTGGGGCTCCTCACGGGCCTAGGCGGCTGCTGACACTAGCATGTTTGGTCAGGCTGGCTGCCAGGCCTCACCCTGTCTCGCAGCACTCCCGCCCCTCCGTCCCAGTGTCTGAAGCAGTAAATCACCCACACTCCCTCAAAGGAGAGGGCTCAGGATGTCCTGGGGCTGAGCAGAAAGACGGTTTCCTACACAAGCACCCTGCACTCCTTCCCACTGCAGACCAGCAGCCTCGGTGGCTGACAAGGATTTGGGGGAGAGGTGGGGTTCTGGGGATGGTAATGAATGAACGGGAAGACAAGTCAGCTGAAGTCTTCTCTGCCCAGAGGCCTGAGAAGGAAGGCGGGAGCAAAGTCCTTCGTCCTGTAAGCCAGCACTTTCTAAACTGCGGTGCACCTTCGGATCATCTGGAGCTCTTGCTCAGGTGCAGGCTCGGATGCAGGAGGGCTAGGGTGGGCTACATTTCTGGTAAGCTCCCAGGGGTTGCCCATGCTGCTGGTCCAGAGGTCATGAGTAGTGAGGCTGAAGAGTTTTGCCAGCCTACATGGGCTTTGCACTGTATTGGACCGTGGGTGGACATGCACCCTAGAATCACCCGGAAAAATCTGAAATACACCACCCCAGTCACCGAATCAGAATCTCTGTGCAGGGACTGGGGTCCTTGTGTGCTTTCTCTCTTAAAGCTCCCCAGGAGGTTTGAATGTGCAGCCAGGATTGAGAACCATTAAACTGGATTATGAAATATTAGCCCCCACCTTAAAATTCCAGGCCATGACCAACTAACTTGAACTCAGGGAGGAATGGCTGGAAACGGTTTACCATTGTCCTCTTCTCAGGAGCACCTTCATTTTCACGGGGGGCCTGTTTTGCCCCAGAGAAATGACAGTGGCAGACCTCCAGCAGGAGAATAAATGACCGGGTCATACTTTGCCCAAATGGCAGTGCTACATGATCTCATTCCAGCGATTTCATGCCTGGGACCTTTGCGTCTTGGCCCCGACCAGTAGACCTCCTGTTTTGGTCTGTCTGTTCAGCCCAGAATTCCCAGAGGTCCTGCGGCTTTCCACAGCTCGGGAGGGTTCTCTTCTCCTCTCTTCTTATCTGAGTGAAGGAGGCAGCTGGGAGGCCCCTCCCCACAGAAGGCTGTGCTCCCTCCAGTGACCCCACACCAAGGCTGAAGACAGTGGGAATGAGGTGCTAATGCTCCCAGTCTTGAGTAGATGGTTCCCCCAAGCACCTCACATCTGGTTTCCATTTCCCTCTGCAGCAGGCCCAACTGAAGCAGAGCCTTTCTCTTTGTATCTCTTGGAACATCAGGTCCAAAGGCCAGGCGGGTTCAGGCCACCCTGAACTAAATCCCCCAGAACCCTTCCTCAGACACCCTCGGTGGGTCCATGCCAGAGGGGAGGGCAAAGGGTGGAGCTGGCAGGAGTACTGGTTCCTTGGAGACTTAGGGAAGTGGGAAGGTTTGGGGCCATTTGAAAAGAGAAGGAAGGGCACGTGAACATCAGGGAAAAGGAGTGTATACTTTACCCAGGTTGTAAGACTGCCCACGAGGGGATCCAGAGCCAGCGTTCAAAAAGCTCAAGGCTCTTCCTCACCCTCATTGCTGCCATCAGGCTGGTGCGAGGGGGAGGCTGCCACAACTCTGGGGGCTTCTTGCTCTCGCCCAGGCCCTTGGGCACAGAGAGAGCAGGGCCACTTGGGATAGGGATGGGGACTCTTGGGATTGTAGTCTACTATAAGGAATATCAGTGTCATAAAGACAACAAACTTGTAATGCTCACTGACTAGAGGTCATGGAACCTCTTTGAGCCCCTTTCTTCTTCTGCAGAGTGAGGGTAATAAAGTAAAAACTGAATTGGGTAAATACAAGAAAAGCACCCAGCCTAGTATGTGGCCAACAGTTAATAAATGGTGACAAACACCTTTTATCCATCCATCCATCCATCCATCCACCCATCCACCCATCCATCCATCTACCCATCATCCATCCATCATCTGTCCATCCATCCATCCATCCATCCAACCATCCATCCAGTAGCTATGTATCTAACCTTTATGATGAAAGAGTCTGCTAGGTCTCACACCTGGAAAACTTGTTAGCTATGCTGATTCTGGACCCCCTCCCAGAGGTCCTAATTTACAGGTCTGTGGTGGGGCCCAGGAATCTGCATGTTCAACCAGCTTTCTGGGTGATGCTGATGTAGGTGGGCCTTGAACCCTCTCGGGAAACACAGGCTTGGTCCTCACCTCATTCTACTGAGGACGAAGCAGGCAGAGAGGGTGACTTCACCAGTTGTGTGACTTGGTGATCGAAACAGGACTCACCCCCTCACCCCCTCCTCTGTGAGTGTGGCATGTGGGGTGAATGTGACCAGGGGGCCCCGGGGGGGCAGTAGGCAGCCCGCCACGCTGCCCTCCCTATACCCCCTGTTCCCTGCCCACTGACACTGCTCTGACTCCCACACAGCCTGTCGGGGAGCAGGGATTTATTCCTTTGGGCCAGCTTTCCACCCTTTATTTCTGTGTTATTTATGTCCCCTGCCTTTTATCTCCTGCCTAGCCAGCCCGCAGGGCCCATTATGTCGCTCTGGATGTGGCCACATCAATCTCCAGCGCTGGGGGTCCGAGCCCCCAGCTCACCCTCCTCATCTATTTTCTGGGTCTCCTCGAGGCCCGGCCAGCAGATGTCCTGCTACATGGATGGCCCGGTTGGCGTTGTCCTCAGAGGGGACCATTGTGAGGGGGCTTGGGTCAGACGGGCCACAGGAAGCTTGTCTGGGGCCCAGGAGTGATGTGACAGGAGTCAGAGTTGCCGAGGGTGGGATGGGCCGGCTATGGGGACTTCCGAGTCCTAGTCTACACTCGGGGCTCCATGACACCTCGAGTGGCCTTAGACAAGGGACAGCACCTTTCCAGGCCTCAGTGTCTTCCTCTCTAACATGGGGGCAGGGCGGGCAGGACCGTCAGATTCCAGCTTCCGGGGCCCTGGGATGTGTGACGGCACTTCCCAAGCTGAGTTTTATAAATTCGCAAATGTTCATGAAAAGGTGTGTGTGGGGAGGTGAGGTTCCATAATCTGGGAAGTTCTGGGTTGAACAGAGGTGTAGAGAGTGGAACGGGGGCCTCAAAAAGATATGTCGGCGTCCTAATCCCTAGAACCTTGAGCGTGATCTTATTTGGGGAAAAGGCCTTTTCAGATGTAATTAAGGACTTGAGATGATATCACCCTGGACTAGGGTAGGCCCGAGGTCCAACGACATGTGACAGGCAGACACGCGGGGGAGAAGACCATAGGAGGAGGGGAGCCATGCAGCCTCTCACTAAGGAAGGCCTCGCAGCCACCAGAAACTTAAAGAGGCAAGAATTCTCCTCTAAAGCCTTCAGAGGGATCATGGCCTTGCCACACCTGGATTTGGGGTTTCTGGCCTCAAGAACTGTGAGACAATAAATGTATATTGTTTTAAGTCACCAAGCTTGTGGTATTGTGTTATGGCAGCCCCAGGGAACTAACGCAAGAGGAAAACAAATTTCTTTATCGCAGGACTTGTCAGGGCCTTTAGTAACTAGTGTGCATGAGGAAGTGCTGGGGATGCGGGTGGAAATGTAACCTGAAACACTCGACTGGGAATAGCTCTGAGGGCTTGTGTCTGACAGGGCACTTTGGGGAACACTGATTTATGACTTGGAGGGAAAGGTGAGGGAAGAAGGGGCAGGAGTAATCTGCCTGGTCTGACCTCTTCTGGATTTGCAGCAGGGTAGCAGGGTCAGGGGGCCCTGCCCAGGTTCCAGCTGTGAGGTGAGAGAGATTTCAGATCCCTGGCAAGGGCAGTCCCCACGCAGCTCGATCCCCTCCCGGAGGGGTTGGTGTGGGTGGGCTACAGGGGGCTACTGGAGGGGTTCCTCCTAGCAGCACACCGTTCCAGGCGGCAGACCAGGCCTAATGCCGATCGTGAAATCTCTCGCAGATGCCAAGGATGAGGGTGGTGGGGCTCCTGTACCCCAGATGCCTCTACTCTGAGGAGCTAAGCTTGTTTGGTAGCCCGGGAAGCTAAGGATTAGTAATAATTATTAGAATGATTCTATTCATTGACACTCAGTGGCAGACCTTGTGCTAAGTGCTCTGTGCATATTATTCAGCCTATTCCTCACCACAACCATATGAGCCCATTTTACAGTTGAGGAAATGGAGGCACAGAGAGATTGCGTAGCATCCTCCAAGTCACACCGCTCGTAAATGGGGGAGGGAGCCAGAATTCAAATCCAAGCTGTCTGACTGCTCTTCATGATGTTACACGACCTTCCCCATCAGGCAGAGACTCTGGGTGGATCACACTGGGTTTGGAGGAATGACTCTGGGAGGGAATGTTCATTCATTCATTCCTTTAATCACTCAGCATTATTGCCTGCCTGCCCCCTGCCTGTTGCCGTGCCAAGCTCTCAGGCCACAGCCTGAGCCTGGGAACTCCTGGCCCCAGGGAGCCCTTGAACAGCCTCGGGGAGGGGTAGGAGGGAGAGACGCCAGACACCGAACACCAGTGTCCCCTCTGCACTGGGGACAATGGCCATGGGGTGATGGGAGTCACAGAGCAAGGGACGATGCCCCAAGACTCAGTTTCTCTTTTGCTCACTGAGCTAGGTTTCCAGGGTGAAGAAGAATTAGGCCAAAGGAAGAGGAAGGAGGTCGAGGATTCAGACTGAAGGAAGAGCACGGGAGGGGGGCTGTGTCGCGGAGCGGGGGGCTGTGTTTGAGGAGCTGGGTCTGCCAAGGGGCTGGGGTGGGGGCGGCGTCAGCAGGGGAGGCGGGCAGTCCAGGAGTCTGAACTGAGACCCAGATGATACACCCCGTCTGCAGTCTCCAGTGTCACCCCCAGGCCTGAGTCTCTGCGCCAAGTAACAATAGCTCCATTTACTGACCCGACGGTGTGCCAGACATTTGGCTAAGCCCTCTCCATAAACGATCTCATTGAACCTTCCCTAAAGCTCCGTGAGGAGGAGCTACTACTCACTCCATCTAACACAAGAGAAATGGAGGCTCCCAGTGGCTGCGTTATTTGACTGCGCTGGGAGTTACACGTGGTCTGTTTGGCAAAGGCCTGGATTTAACCAGGGATGCCATTCAACGCAATATTGAATGCTTTGGGGTCTCTGGCCCATCAGTGAAGTGCCACTCAGGAGCCTGCTGGGGTCCGCCAGCTGAACACCCACCCTACTCATCACCAAAACAAGTACTTGGAATCATGCAGGGAAGAGACTAGGCACCAAAACATTTTCTGGCTCTTCCTTTCCTTGTCATTATTTTCATATCCCCGGGATTCTGGGGAAAGCAGGCCATTCTGTTCCATTTCACCCTGCATTCTCTTCCAGATTTTCTAAGCTCTTATTTACAGGTTATTGCGCTGCTCAAGAATCTTCCGGAGCTCCCCTGTCCCTGTAGGAAACACGCCACTTGCTCTCTGCTCAGCACAGCTCTCTAGGACCAATTCCAAGCTCCCTCTCCAGGTAGACCCCCCTCGCCCTGCTCAGGGAGGCCCTTCTCCACCAGGCTGCTTCCCCCCTGGGCCTCCCTCCGTGGCCTCCACCAGCCATTGTCCCTCCACAAATGCCTCCTCGCCCTGCCACCTCCACCAAGAAGCCTTCAGACTATTCTGGCCCTCGGGGGGCATCCACTTTTGAATGTCCTCCAACTACCCTCATTCTGTTCCCTCTTGTCCCCGTGTCAGGTGGCATCTGACCCAGGCATCTGCCTCCCAGCAGTGCAATCACAAAAGCCACGTCTTCATGTCGGCAGCTGTCGAGTTGCTCCCAAGTCACTATCTCCCAGACTCGGATGTGCTGACGATTCACCTGGGGATCTTGAAAAGCCAAGATCCGGATTCGTTAGGACGGTGGGCCTCGGCTCTGCCTTTCTGACCGCCTCGCAGGTGACCCTGATGCGGCTGGCTATGGGGCCCCTCTCGGAGCCGTGAGGGCTGAGGTATCTGTCAGAGCTTCTAGCCCCTGGTTCTCAACCACGGGAGCTTCTCACAGCGTCTGGGCCTGAGCCCCAGCCGAGACCGCCTTTTAAATGGCCGTGGGTGGGCCAGGCGCTGGTCTTTTTGAAATGTTCTTCGGGTGATTCCAATGGGCATCCGGGGCCAGCGCTGTGACCCAGGCTGTGTAGATTCAAAGCCCTTGGAGGACGGGGTCTGATTCTGGAGGCCAGAGCACCCTCTCATCTCGTGCTGGGTGCCTACTAACTGTCAGGGCACTTGGAGGGCATCAAGGGGGAGCACCCACACCTGATGGCCCAGCCCAGAGAGGGTTCTGAACCTACCAACACCACCCGCCCCCGGTGTGGGCAGAGCAGGACTCGGGAAGGCCTGGTTGACGGGAGGGGAGCCTGGAGCCGGGTGCCAGGAGCTCCCTCCTCCTGCAGCTGCCAGGTGGGGCCAGTGCACAACAAGGCCCCCCACCCCCACCCCTGCACCCAGGAAACAGGCCACAGTGTCCAGTCAGCAGGCACGTGGCGCCCTCTGCTGGGCATTAGAGCCACTTGTCCCCAGGGACTCCCAGGGTGAAGAGGGGCCCTGAGACCACTTCTCCTCACCCCTTGAAATGGGGCAAGATCAAGGCAGGGCCGGCTGTTCTGTGTCTCGTCTCGGTCTTCCGACTCCAGGATGGGGAATACTCGCTCATGCAGCCAAGTCGCGCTGAGGCCCTTCCTGCCACCCCACCTTTTCCTTCTCACGTCACTGGGCCACATGTTTAGAGGCAACAGGACTGAAAACATGCATTTTGCTGTGTGTCCCCAAGAGGGGCTCAGCCCTGAGCACCCATGGGTCCTTGTCTAGACACCCCTGTGGGGTCAGTGAGGGGTCAGTGTCAGGATCAGCTGTGATGGGAGTTAGCATTCAGTCTGGGGCCGGGGCTAGGGCCAGGGGTCAGCCTGTGGCTGGGGTCTGGGGTCATTCTTGCAGAGTCAGGGGTCAGCTGTGTCCAGGGTCGAGGCTCAGGAACCAGGGAAGCACCAGTGGCCAGGCCCATCTCGTTACAGGCTATGGCCACGTGTCTGCCCACGGTGATGGAGGTCGGTGTCTGGGAGACCCAGGCAGGAGAGGAAGATGGTGGAAAGAGAGGCAGCCCTGGTTTCCTCCAGCCCCCCAGGGATGGCTGCTCCTAGTCTTTGCTATTCTTGGGGGCCGAGAGTCCAGGCGTCCACGCACAATGCCTCAGCGGCCAGGCCCCTGGGCATGATCCATAGAGGGCCCAATGCTTTGGCTCTGTCTCAGGGGTCAATGCCTTGTTGTAACCACCACTGGCTTTGTCACAAACACATGCTTGAGACCAGGCCAAGGTGGGCGATACTGAGGGGAAGGGGTCTATCAAACATTATGTTTGGGTGGAGAGTACTGGATGCTGCTGTAGACCAGGGACATGGAAGCTGAGGTCTGAGGGTGGGCTTCACAGGTATTCTGGAGGCCAACACACCCACCTGGAATGCTGTGTGGATTTCTGCATGTGGGGCTTTCTGTGGTTTTCATCAGATTCTCAGAGGGCCATAACCAAAAACAAACAAACAAACAAACAAACAAAAAGCTAAGAATCCTTATCTAAGCCCATCCTTAGCTTTTTTTCAAAAACACCTTTGTTTATTATAGCTTTATTGAGCTATAACTGACAGGCAATGAACTACACACTATATATTTATAGTGTCCAATTTGATAAATTTTGATGTTTGTATATACTGTGAAACGATCACCACAATCAAGATGATGAACATAGCCACTGCCCTCAAAATTGATCTGCTTTCTGATCCTATAGATTTATTTGTATTTTCTAGAATCTTATATTAGTAGTAGAACCATACAGTATGTACTTTTCTTGTGGGGGGGTCCAGTTTCTTTCACTCAACCAGATTATTTTGATATTCATCCATGCTATAGTGTGTATCAATAGTTTATTACTTTTTATTGCTGAGTAGTATTCCATTGTGTGGATATACCACAATTTGTACATCCATTTATCTGTTGATAGACATTTGAGTTGTTCCTGATTTTTGGCTATTACAAATAAAGCTGCTATGAACATTCATGAATACATACCTGTGTGGACATATGCTTTTGCCTCTCTTGGGTAAATACCTCGCAGTGGAAAGAAACTGCCAAACTGTTTTCTAAAATTGTTGCACCATTTTGCATTCCTATCAGCAGTGGATGAGCATTCCAGTTGCTCCACATCCTGGACAACATTTGGTGTGGTTAGTCTTTTGAAATCATTTTTAGCCATCAGAGTGGGTGAGTATGGTATCTCATTGTGCTTTTTTTTTCACTTCCCTAATGACTAATGATGTTGAGCATTTATTCATGTGCTTCTTTGTTATCCAAATCATTGGTGAAGTGTCTGTTCAAATCTTTTGCCATTATACACAAACAATAATCATGGAACACTACATCAAAAACTAATGATGTACTGTATGGTGACTAACATAACATAATAAAAAAAAGAAAGCAAAAAAAATTAAAAATTGGGTTGTATGTTGTCTTCTTATTGAATTATCAGAGTTCTTTGTGCAGTCTAGATACCAGGTCTTTGTTGGATAAATGTGTTGAAAATGGTTTTCCCAGTGTGTGACTTACCTTTTCATTTTTATAACCACATCTTTTGAAGAGCAAACATTTATAATTTTGATGAAGCTCAATTTATTTATTTTTTCTTTTATAGCTTGTACTTTTTGTATCCTATTTATGAAGTCTTTGATAAACCTGAAGTCACTAGGGTTTCTCCTGTGTTTTTTTTCTAGAAGTTTTATAAGTTTAGCTCCTACATTTAGCTTTATGATCCTTTGAGTTAATTTTTGTAAATTGTGCAAATTACAAATCAGAGTTGTTTTTGTTTTTGTTGTTGTTGTTGTTGTTGTTTTTGTATATGGGTATCTGATTGCTCCAGCACTATGTGTTGAAAAGATTATCCTTTACCAATTGACCATATATATGTGAACCTATTTTGGACTATTATTTTCATTGATCTTTATACCAATACCATACTGTCTTGATTACTATAGTCTTCTAATTAGCCATAAAATCAGATAGAGTAAGGCTTTCAGTTTTGTTGTTTTTCAAAGTTATTTTGACTGTTCTAGATGTTTTACATTTCCGTAAAATTTTAGAGTCAGTTTGTCAATTTCTCCCAAAAGCCTGCTGGGATTTTTATTGGGATTCCATTGAATCTATACATCAATTTGGCAGAAAATTGGCATTCTTACAATATTGAATCTTCTAATCCATGAATATGGCTTGTCTCCACATTTATTTGGTTCTTTTGGTTAATTTCTCTCAGCAATGCTTCATAGTTTTCAGTGTGCAGGTCTTACACATCTTTCATTTATCCCTGAGAATTTCATATTTTTTCATGCTATTGTAAATGGCAGTATTTTAAATTCCAATTTCTGATTACTCATTGCTAGTATATAGAAATACAACTAATTTTTGAATATTGATCTTGCATTCTACAATTTTCTAAATCACTTATTCTAGTAACTTTTTTGTAGGTGCTATAGGTTTTTCTGTGTGGGTGATCATGTTACCAGCAAATAAAGACAGTTTTGCTTCTTCCTTTCAATTGAGATGCTTTTTATTTATTTTTCTTGCCTTATTGCATTGGCTTCAACCCCAGTGCAATGTTAAAGAAGAATAGCAAGAGTGGATTTCCTTTCCTTGTTTCCAGTCACACATAGTAAGAAGGTATTCATCCTTGGCTTTTATTTGCCCTGGTAAGTTCTGGACAAGCTCAAAGGGGTGGCCTTTCAGGACTGATTTGAGGTCCCTGGAGTTAGCCCTGGGCAGTATGCTCTTCTTTCCTGTGTTTTGGCGATGCATCATGGCGACTGCAAGTGCCTTGAGGGCGGGGGTGGTATATTTGACGCTAATTCCTGTGCTGTGCTTGGCATGGTTGGTCAGCTTGACAAATCCTCAGTGCCAACCAGGTCACTGAAGCACACAGAAAGGGCCTGTATGCATCCCCTTTGTTTTCCTCCTAAACCAAAGGCAGTCATGCTTCCCTCCTTCCTTCTCTTCCCCCTCCAGAAACCTGAATGGAAGGAAACATGAAAGAGAAGGGCTCAGATTTCTCCAGCATCAAGTTACTTTCATGAAGTGTCCTCATTCAAAAATAAACCTGAGGGGATGAGGGGAGGAGGGTGACAGAGACAGGAGGGAGCTGTTAGCATAGCTCTGCTTCCAGGCTCTATTTTTATTTTAGGGCTGGCATTTAGGTTTGGCCTGGGGACAAGCGGCTGGAAAATGTAAGGCATTTCCTCTTCCTGTCAGCTGGAGACACTGCGTGTGTGTGAGTGTGTAGATGAGGGCCCCTACCACCTTCCACTTAGCACCTCTGAATGGCAAACAAAATACACTTCCTCCACAGGCCTGTTCCATTCTTGGCCCCACCAAGCCCTTCCAGTCCCATCCCATCTTTGGACACTCTCAAGACTCCCCTCCAGACCATTGCACATGCTGATTCCTGCAGGGAGAAGAACCCTTTGCTCCCTTGAGGGCAGACCCTGCGCTCTCTGAGGTCCCGGGTGGGGTATTTTAGGAGGACTCAATGATGACATAACAGGCTTGTTTATTCACTCATTTACTCATTACTAGCTGTGTGCCCTGTGTGAGTTACTTAATTGCTCAGTGCCTCAGTTTCCCCATTTATAAAATGAGGACAGTAATAAAACCTGCTTCATAAGAGTGTTGAGAGGATTCAGTAAGTTAATATGTGTAAAGTGCTTGAAACAGTACCTGGCAGGTAGTTAGTGTTCAGCAAAGGGTGGTATCATTTGATCGTGCATACGAGCCTTGAGCTTGGGCAGGGGTGGGGGCTGGTGGTGGTGGACTAGACAGACATGGTGTTTGACCGCTTGTGGCTTATTCCATTGGAGATCTGCGTGCTGCCTGTGAGGACCTTAAGTTCTCAACTTCAGCTTTGGAGCAGGACGCTGCTCTCTCTCCAAGGAGTGAACAGTCTCCTTTACGCCCTACAGGGTGATGAAATATACAGTAAGAGACATGACGAGAGTGATGTTATTGGGACCTTGTGGAACTCTGGCTGGCTTTGTTCCTTCTCTGCTTTGTAAAGTTATCTCACTTTTCAGGGGCTCGTTTTCCTTATTTATAAAATGAAAGAAAGTGCAGTTAATGTGGATGCTCCTCCAGGTCTGTTTTGATCCTTTTCTCCACGAACGGAATCATCTCTCTCTCTCTCACTCCCTATCATCTTCTCCTTCCCATATAGGTATCAGGGCTGATCTTCCCCAAGACTCCACTGTGGATGGCACTCCCCAGAGTTGTGCAGTGCACAGCCTGTTCAGCTGTATAACCTAGCCTGTTTATGATCCACCTAAGTTCCTAGAATCCCATCTCCTGAGTTTATGTGAAGAAGAAAAAAAAGTATAGCATCACCCAGATCAAATAGGAATGGTAAACAAAATACACTGATCCCCGCTTTTTATTATTCTGTAAATTGGGAAGGTTGTTCTACTGTTGGTTTCTTTTGCCTGAGACTTAATTAAACAAGCACTTGTTGACATTCCAATCATTCATTTAACAAATATTTATTAAGCACTTACAGTGGGCTAGGCACCGCGGTAGGTGCTGGGGTACAGCTGAGACCGAGGTCCTTGTTCTCATGGAGCATGAGTTATAGTTCAGGAAACAGAGAAGAAACAGGCAGACAAATAGGTAAGACAGTGTCCAAGAAGGTTGGGTACAGTGTAGACAATTACAGAGGGTCCTGGGCAGGGTGGCATGAGAGGACTGCTTTAGACAGTGATGAGGGAAGGCTTCTCTAGGGAAGTGACATTTGAGTGGTCACCTGAATGACAAGGAGCCAGCCACATGGACATGGGTCTCCTCACACTGGCTTGGCAGGGAAGGGGTGAGGCCACCTCACACTCTTAGCCTCTCTTCATCACTCCTTGCTTTTTCTCTACACCATCGCTCTGCTTCCCTTCCTCTGAGACGGGATCCCCAGGGGCCCTCCATCTGGAGAATGGAGAAGTCTGCAGATGGAGACTCATAAATCTTCATTCAGACTAAAGCTGCCCCTTCCTCCTTCCTCCTCTGACAGACCCAAGCAGAGAAGAGGGAATCCTTCAGGTCTTGCTGGGGGTGGCTGTTTGGGGTGGGTCTTCCCTTTAAGCCAGCTGTTACATGGATATGCGAGAGTCACCTGGAAGAGAGGTCACTTGTGCCTGCCTGGCTTACTTGGTGGCAGCCCAGGCTGGGATGACGGGAAAACCAGATCCGAACCAGCATTGTCTACACTCTCTATAAAAGCGTGTGTAGGAGCATAGCAGCTAGGGGCAGAGGGCCTGGGTTCAAACCCCCTCTCCGCCTCTTACTGGCTGGGTGACTTGGGAAAGCTATATGACCTCTCTGTGTCTCAGTTACCTCATTTGTTAGAAGAGGCAAGGAGTAATAGTATCCAGCTCACATGGGGCTGTGAGGATCCTGTGAGTTTATACACACAGTGCTTAGAGCAGCGTTTGGTATGCAAGAGCACGTGTGTTCACCCTGCTCTCATTTTTCAGGAGGATTATCTAGCCACTGGCAAGTTTTCATCCATGTGTCACAGACCTCTTTCCCATCTCTTGGTTCGCTCATAAGAGGCTTGATCTGGAAGAGACCGAGCTATACGCAGGTCAGGAGGAGTATCCAAGTGTGTGTTTTTAGTATAGGGAAGGGGAACGGGGAGGGGGGCATATATGTGGGGCGGTGCTTCCCTGGCTTTCTGCACCAATGTTTTTAGCTTGAATATATAGGTATCTACGTTTGCATCTCTAAGAGGCAGTTCCTTGCTGCGTTCCATTAGTGAAGGCTTCCATCCATCCATCCATCTGTCCATCCATCCTTCTCCAGCACTTATTTTTGCTAGGTGTTGTGTTGGTTTTAACCAAAGTCAACACTTTTTAGCTTGAGTTCCCCAGAGAACAGAGCCTGCAGCAAAGCTTGTGTGCTAATGCTTTAATGGGGGATGCAACCCCAGGAAGCAAGAGTGAGGGGAGGGAAATAGAGCAGGGTGGAAGGAAAGCAAAACCAAGATGACATGTCACCATGCTGGCCTCAGCTTCTTGGAGAATGCAGCCACTTGTTCAGTTCTGTGGACTGTCCCTAGAAAGGTCCCACGGAACCACTGGGTCCCGAACAAGCCACCACGTGGGGAGAAAGAACAGACAGTGTTTGTGCTGGTCCCTCCCCACCCACCATGTAAGTGTGGTGTCATTCGGGACTGGATGGCTGCCCCCCACCCCCGCCAGGCAGTTGCTGGGGAAGCCAGAGCTCAGTGGGTCCCACGTAGCCGGCATGATGCAAGGGTCCCTCTCCTCCCCCCTGAAGGAAGCTGAGCTGGTGAGTGCTGGGGAGGAAATGACCTGAGGAGAGCCAGGGAA